GCTCCGAGTCGGTGTGAAGGTTGATGACATATCAGCCAGATATTCTGAATCTGCAGACATGTCAGGGGCTGACTGCCCAATGAGACAGGGGGGACTGTGGGGGACCCAGGAGTGGAGAACAGCTGGCAAGGGGGACATTCCAGATAATGGGGTCACAGCAGGAAAGTCATGAGGCTAGGACTCTCCCCTCCCATAAGGAAAACCCGGTAGGGGCCGTTGGCGTCAGCACCAGAGGTCCTGGGCAACAGAGTCACTTTGCTCTAGCAAGCCACTCAGAGAAGAGGGCTGTTTGCCTCACCTCTCTGGACATGGTCAGTGTGGCCATCCCCAGCAGAAACCTGAGTGCCCCCAAATGCCACCGCACCAGAGCTGACACTCCAGCACAGCAGAGGGGTCTTCTAGGGTCAGAATGGATGGATGGGTTGTGGGAACCTCTCCTCCAGCTTCTCAGGAGTCCTGCCTGCTGTGGATGAAGGTTCTAGAAAATGCTGGATATGGTCTTTTCTAACTGGGCATGGCCAAAGGAGGGCCTGGGGCGGGGTCAGATGTAAGTATCAAAGACACAGCATTTGAAGCCGCCAGTTGCTGGCTGGGGAGGAACTTGTTTAGTTTACCTGCCCTGCCTTGGTTTCCCCAGCCCAGGGCCAGGTGACCAAGTGCATGGTTGCTCTCCCAGGGGCCTGCCTTCCTGGGAAACTCTGTCTTCAGGCCTCTCGCCCTGCTTTGAAACTACAGTTCTTTGGAAGTCAAGCCAAGTGTCCTTTTAGGGGCCTGGAGACTGGACTCTCTGCCCATTCCTAACCCATTCCTCCTAGAAAGCCCTCCAACCCTGGAATTCCACCTTCAGACACAGACTCCGAGAAGTTTCTCACATGGACCAGGTCAGAGCGGAGTGGGAGAGACCAGGCCCCTGGGAATTCAGCCACATGGAGGTCACACTTTGCTCCTATGCCAGTCTCAGGGTCCCTCCTGAGCCTGGGGATCTCCACACAGCTATGCCAGGTGGCCCCTCCCAGCCTGAGGTTCCGAGGGTCCTGAGGATGCCCAAGAACAGATCCATTGGTGAGGTCCAGGGGCCATTGCTGGCCATACCCTGAAGCTGCTCCTTCCCGGACCCTCAGAGAGAAGAGCGAGAAAGCTGAGAAGGCTGAGACATCCCAAACTCATAGGTCAGGGGGGGAGACCGGAGACCCCTACAGACTTGCTTCCCAAAATCCGCAGGCCCAAGAAGAAGAGCACAGGGCAGTGGAGGTAGGCCCAAGGAGAAGGCAGGCCGGACCCACCCCAGGTTCTGTCCGACCCCAACCAACCTCCCCCAGGTGGGTGTTGGGGAATAACAAAGCTTCTGCTCCCAGCATTCTCAGAGGGCTGGCTTCCCTCCCTAACATTCACATCAGGAAACTCTGTTAGCTCTGCTCTCTGGAGGCCTCCCTGCAACATCCCACCACCACCCCGACCAAAGCCACAGCCCGCCACTCTCACCCACACCAGCTAGGGGCAGACCCTGAGATGGCTCTCATCTCAAACACGTCAAACTACCCCATAGCTCTCACACTGTGTACAATTTATGTGCCTGTCATACTTCTTGTCTGCATACAGGGCATACACACTCACTGCCCAGGGTCTAGACTCATTTCTATGTTGTACACCCCAGGCACTGAATACAGACAGGCTGGACACACGAGGCACTCAATCAATGCTGCCAGGTTTAGTTAAGCGAGGCTGCCTGTTTTCAGAGCCCACCCCCATTTCAGCTTAGCAGCAGGAACCTGCTCCACTCCCCTTCGGTCCCCCAGCAGCCCACTCAGGCCAGAGCCCCCCTTCCAGGATCCATCTTCAGTCCTTCAGGGTCTCCCGGGACCACCAGCCCCTTTATCCAGACTCAATACTGCCCCACTGATTGTTGCACACCCTCTACCAAGCCCAGTCGGAGTCCTGGTGTGGCGCTGTGGGTTAATGCGCTAGACTGCAAAGTCGTTTGAACTGCAAGGTCGGCGGTTCAAGCGCACCAGCTGCTCCTCAGAAACCCTATACAGGGTCGCTATGGGTTGGAATCGACTCGATGGCACTTCACAACAACAACAACCAAGCCAAGTTGTTTTAAATTCAGCAAACTGGGGCAGACCTCTTTGCCCAAGCCTTTTCCCCTCAGCCTGAATGCCCTTCCCACACTTGGTCAATCTCTGCGAATCCTTGAGACCCCTGGCTGGGAGAAACCCCTCCGTGGGTGCAGGGGAGGGACATCTCCAGGTGAGTTGAGCAGCTAAGGGAGTGGCTTAGCCCTCAATTCCGTCCTCCTACCCCCCTGGGGTTCAGAATTACAGTATTCTGAGCTGCTCTCTCCTAATCCAACAGGCGGGTTTTCCCACGCTTACCAAAGACCAGGAAGCCCCAGACCGCCTATCAGGGATTGGATCTGATTGTTTCTGCTCCAACCCAACCAGTTTCCCAAACTTCCAGGTGCTGCTCAGCCAAGGAGGAAGGAAGAGGTGAGTACACAGCCCCTTTCCCACCCCGTCCACAAGTTCCAGGAGGCCGCTGGCCCCTTATCCCACCCTCTCTGCTGCACAACCTCCAAACCTCCAAGTCTATGAGACGCAGCCAAGCCCAGGAGGTCCTGAAGGCATGAGGGTGAGGCTCTGGAACCCCTTGGGCCCCTTCCCCGCCAGGAGTCCTGAACCCAGTACCTGGCTGTTTCTGCTCCCCTCCACCTCCCAGGTCAGCCTAGCTGTCATCCACAGGGACACCTGAGCTCTGGACTCAGGAGGGCACGCCTCCTCCTCACTTCCCCTCCCCACTTAAAGCTGGGGTTACATGAGCCGTGGGGGGGAGGTGCCCCTTGCAGGCATACTGTGTGCCCTGTATTCACCGGACTGGACTTCTTTAGGAGGCTGGGGGTCACTCACTCCCTGAGGTGACACAGTGGGGGACTGCTTGCCCAATCCTGAACAGCCCCTGAGTGAGGAGTCTGGGGAGTCAGGGCCTCTCCCCTCCCCCCACCCCATTTCCTACTGCTGTGCATAAGGTCGCTGTGAGTCGGCACCTAACAACAACAACAACAACCCCTAAGCCTGGAGTCCTGGGGTGGCACTGTGGGTTAATGCGCCAGACTGCGAAGTCGTTTGAACTGCAACGTCAGCAGTTCAAGCTCACCAGCTGCTCCTCGGAAACCCTATACAGGGTCGCTATGGGTCGGAACCGACTCGACGGCACTTCACAACAACAGGAAGCCCTAAGCCCGCACTGCCCCGCTGCTTTCTGCACCTCTAGCTGTATTTCCAACAGGAGCCATGTTGTGGGACATTTGGGCTCTGGGTCTGGCTCTGAGCTAGATCGCTTCCGAGCCGGTGGACGCTGTTACCTAGCAACAGCTTACACAAGGGTAGCACCTGACCAGGAGGCTTGGACGCGCTACCTGTAGCTCTGTGTACCGGGGTACCGAATGGCTCTGGTGGTCCAGGCAGGGGTGTAGGAAGTAGTGATCACTATGCCCTGCCTCCTGGTCTGTGGGGGGAGGGGACTAGGCGCTGCTCCCAGGACGCTGGGAGTCTCCGAGGAGGCGTGGGGGGGGCTAGGGTGGGGGGTCAGGCCCTACCACGCCCTCTGCCCCTCCCCCTTTGCCCTCTTCCTTCTACCGTCGTCCCTCCTCGTTCGTTGCCTCCTCCCCTTACTCCTCGTCTCTCCTCTGTCCACACCCTCCCGTCCCTCCACCTCTACCCCTTTCATCCCCCGTTCCCGAGCCTGAACAGGACACCTCTGAGGGTAATGAGGCCAAAGTGCCCGCTGCAGACCCCTGGGCCTAGTCTGGAGAACGCAGGAAGTGGCCGAGCCGGGCCGGGGGGCGGGGCCGGGGCGGGGCCAGGCCCAGGGGGGCGGAGTCGGCGCTCACCCCAGGAAGACTAGCGTCCTAGGTCACCCGCGCGGGCAATCAGGCCCAGCGCCCTGCACCACCGCGCATCGACACGTCCGGGCTCCACGAGGTGCGACTGCCCGCCCACAGGACTCCCCTTCGGCCACCCCTCCTCCTCCCACACCCCGGGTTGGGGGCGGTGGGCACAGCCCCGGGGCCTCCTCCGTGCTGCTAACTCCTTCCGCACCTCCGGGGTCCTGGGGCCGCCCTCTAGCGAACAGTGTAGCAGGTGTTCCTTTGATACCAGGAGGCCCCTGGGACCCAGGAGATCCGGTTCCTGCTTGGTGGGCCCCCTGCAAGATGGGGCAGAGGCAGCCCCAGCCCTGGGCAGGGGTGAGGCAAGAGCTGAGTGCATACACAGTAGGGGTGGAAGGTTGGCTTTGGACCCAAAGCTGGTGCAGAAACGGACCTGTCTGGTCTCACAAAACCCCATACACACTGTCCCCAACAAGCCTGAGCCACTTGGGCTAGGAGGCCTGGGGGCAGGATGGGGATGTGCTGTGAGCTGAAGGGGGAACCTACACAGGGACCCAAATCAGCCCCACCCCCACACAGTAGCTTCCCAGCCTTTATGTGTGCCTCCAAAAACAGGTGTTGATACCTTCCTGAGTAAGGCCCACTTGGGGATGGGATGCCCACCTCACTCCCAGGGGAGGAACGGAGAGCCCTGAGCCTTTGAATATAGGGGGTGGAGGGTCTCACCTAGAGCTGAGGGCACCCCAGGGCCAGTCCCCTCCTGACGTCTCCCTTAGTTGCTGCCTGCCATCTGCTGTGTTTGCTGCTGGGCCAAGGGTGGGTTTGCTAAAAGCCCCCCCACTGACACGTCGAAGAGCCAGAGGGACTGAAGTGACACAGTAAGTGGCTGGAGGTAAGAGTCCAGCAGTGTCCTCTCCCACAGGCCGCTCACTCAGTGAAACACCTCCTGCCCTCTTGGTGACTAAACAACAGAAGTGCCAGCCCACAGGACTTTTGCCCCTGCCTGCTCCCTGGTTCCCGCCTCCACCAGCTCCCTCGGATCTCCCTACAGCAGCGTCTGCCCAGGATGCAGAGAGGTAGGGCCCACAGGGCCCAGCGCCATCCCCTCAGCACCATGTCAACTGTGGACCGGTCGAGGGCCCTCTTGCTCACCTTTGTGCTGGCCACGTTGGAATTCTCCAGCCTCTTCATGCAGTTCTCCATCATACCGGTGAGCCCCCTCCCCCCACCACACACACACACCAGGCACCCTCCCTTCTGCCTCCTCCCACCTGCCCGGCAGGTCTTCCCACTGGGGACCCCATACATGTGCCTCTTGACCCCCTTCTAGTGCTTACTGGGCTCGGGTGCACCACCAGCCCTGAGGCTGATGGGGACAGCGGTCCACCTCATGGTTCACCTGTCCATGTTTCACAGCTCGGCTCCCACCTCCAACCTTAGGACCAGTACCCTGTGGATCCTCTGCCCAGGGTCCTGCCAATGGCCTTCCCTGACCATTTCCTGGTGCAGTGGGGTCACTGCCCTCCAGCCCCTGATCCAGCTGGCCCACCACACAACACCCCATTGTAGAGGATCCCACGTGAACTCCTCAAGGACAGGGACCTGGTTTGGGGCCTGGCCTGGCTGCCCAGCACCACCTCCCACTGTGGCTCCTCCCACGTGCCCCCCTGCAATCGTCCCTAGGGGGTCTCTTCCTCCAGGTCCAGGTCGGCAGCACTCAGAGATTCTGTTCATGGTATCTGTGGCCTTGGCTACTTTTAAAAGCTCCCAGGAGAATCCTCACTCAGTGTCGGGTCCACGCTGGACTTGGGGCCATGGCTGTGCCGGCACCAGGTCAGGATGAGAACATGGCCCGGAGCCCAGCCTTCAGGGGTCTAAGGTTACAGCCCAGCATCCCAGTAGAGGCTCGGATACCTCCCCTCCCCCAGGCCCTTACAACCTGGGATGGAGAACCTGGGGTAGTAGGAACATCAACCTAGTCATCATTTGAGGTATGGCGGGGCACCTGGTCAGTCAGCCCCAAGGCCACTGTCCAGTCCACCCGGAAATGTCTTTTCAGGCCTGGGTTTGCGCTAAGCATTGTGATCTTGGACCGCGGCCTGTGGTCTTCATTGGGAAGTGGACAATAGCAGCCCCTCCCTGGTCAGATCATGAGCAAGCATTGTCCCTTGGTCTCAGTACACCCTCTGCCATGTCCAGTCAACCAGGAGCAGCTCTTTTTCCATAGTGGCTGGTCTCTGGTGCTGGTGGTGGTGTGCCATAGCATCAAGTCTGACTCACAGCAACCCTGTATGGGGTTTCTAATGTTGTTGTTGTTGTTGTTAGGTGCCATCGAGTTGGCACCGACTCATAGCAACCTTATGCACAGCAGAATGAAACAATGTCCGATCCTGGGCCAACCTCACTACTGTTTCCACACTTGAGTCCATCCATGCTGCCGCTTGGCCAATCCATCTTATTGGGGGTCTTCCTCTTTTTCTCTGACCCTCCATCTTACCCAGCATGATATCCTTCTCCAGCGACTGTTCCCTCCTGACAATATGTCCAAAGTATAAGAGATGAAGTTTGGCCATCCTGGCCTCTAAGGAGCACTCTGGCTGCACTTCTTCCAAAACAAATCTGTTGGTTCTCTTGGCAGCCCATAGCACTTTCAGTATTCTCCTCCAACACCACAATTCAAAGGCATCAATTCTTCTGCAGTCTTCCTTATTCACTGTCCAGCTTTCGCATGCATATGAGGTGATTGAAAATACCATGGCTTGGGTCAGGCGCACCTTAGTCCTCAAGCTGACATCTTTGCTCTTCAACACTTTAAAAAGTTCCTGTGCAGCAGATTTGCCTAATGCAATACGTCGTCTGATCTCTTGACTGCTGCTTCCATGTGTGTTGATAGTTGATCCAAGAAGAATGAAGTCCTTGACAACTTCAATCTTTTCTCTGTTGATAAGAATGTTGTTTATTGGTCCAGTGGTGAGGATTTTTGTTTTCTTTACATTGAGATGCAATCCATACCGAAGGCTGTGCTCTTTGATCTTCGTCAGTAAATATTTTAAGTCTTCTTCATTTTCAGCAAGCAAGGTTGTATCATTTGCATATCACAGGTTGTTAATGGGGTTTCTGAGGCAGCAAATAATTATGGGAACAGAAAGCCTCATCTTTCTCCCTGGGAGCGGCTAATAGATTAGAACTGCTGATCTTTCTGTTAGTATTAACACTGCGCTACCAGGGCTCTGGGAATCCCCCTCTGATGGGGAGGGCCCCTGTGGGGGCCGTGAAGCCTCTGGAAGCCTAGTGGAGCCCCAGGCTAAAGACATGTGTGCCATCCCCACCACTATCACCAGCTTTCAGCAGAAGGGTCACCTAGTTGTTCCACAAATCCATGTCAAACCTTGCTCTGACATGGTGCAATCATCTGGACTCAGAAGCCATCGGTCAGTTCTGACTCACAGTGACCCAGAGCTCACGCCCGAGTGCATGATGGGGAAGGGGACAGACTGTGGACAGGGAGCACACTACAGATCGTCCAGCCACCTATAGCAGGGGCTCTGTTCCAGCGACTCCATCCTAAGTCGGTTCTGATGTAAGTCGTTTACCTATTTTTATTTATTTTTCTACTTTTTCATAGTATTGCCTTTTATCATCAGTGTCTTTATAAACCTGTAAATCAGATCTTGGAACATCTGAGAACCATGGTTGTTGTTGTTGTTGTTGTTGGGTGCAACAGCAACCCTGCGTACAACAAAACCAAACACTGCCTGGTTCTACGCCGTGGTCACAACGGTCACGCTTGAGCCCATTGCTGCTACCACTGTGTCAGTCCATCTCGTTGGGGGTCTTCCCCTTTTTCCATTGACCCTTCATGATGTCCTTTGCTGGGGACTGATTCCTCTGGACAACATGTCCAAAGTCAGAGAAACCACATCTCATCATCATCCTTCCTTCTAAGGAGCGCTGTGGCTGCACTTCTTCCAACACAGATCTATTGGTTCTTCTGACAGCCCATGGCACTTTCAATATTCTCCTCCAACACCATAACTCACATGCATCAATTCTTCTATGGTCTTCCTTATTCACTGTCCAGCTTTCCCATGCATATGAGGCAATGGAAGACACCATGGTCTGGGTCGTGATGTGCTGCCAAGTCGGTTCTGACTCATAGAGACCCTGTAAAGGGTTTCCAACGAGTGGCTGATGAGTTTGAACTGCTGACCTGTGGTTCAAACCAACCTTGTGGTCCAGTACATTATCCTGCAATGCCATATCGGGACACAGGTCTTGATGCCATCCAGTAATGGCGTGCTGCAACACTGTACATTCAGGTATACCTTGTAAATATCACAGGCTTGGTTCCAGACCACCATAATAAAGTAAACGTCGAGATAAAATGAGTCACACACATTTCTTGGGGTTTCCCAGTGCGTATAAAAGTGATGCTCACACTAAGCTGTTATCTATGAAGTGTATCACAGCATGATGAAAAATCTTGAGTTATTTTGAGAATGACCAGTATGTGACACAGAGCCATGGTGTAAACATGGAGCTGTTGATAAAATGGCACTGGGGGATACTGGACACAGAGTTACCACAAACCTTCCATGTGTTAAGAAGATGGTATCTTTGAAGCACAATAAAGCATCACTCAATTAAATAAGGTATGTAGGTGATACCTATTACTAATGACAAGATAAACAGTATCATTAAAACCACATGCAGGTCAACTTCTGCTGAAGGAAATTCAGAAAATGGTAGCAATACATTGCCGGAAACTGCTAGAAATTCAAACCAAATTCAGAAGAGGAAGTGGAACAAGGGATATCATTGCTGACATCAGATGGATCTTGGCTGAAAGCAGAGAATATCAGAAAGATGTTTACTTGTGCTTTATTGATTATGCAAAAGCATTCGACTGTGTGGATCCTAACAAGCTATGGACAACATTGTGAAGAATGGGAACCATCAATCAAGCAGAACAAGGGGAATGCTCTGTGGTTTAAAGTCAGGAGAGGTATGGGTCAGGATTATTCAATCTGTATGCTGAGCAAATAATCTGAGAAGTTGGACTAAGAACATGTCATCAGGATTGGGGGAAATCCCATTAGCAGCCTATGATATGCAGACGATACAACCTTTCTTGCTGAAAGCGAAGAGGACTTGAAGCAACTGTTCATGAAGATCAAAGAATACAGCCTCCAGTATGGATTACCACGAAGAAAGCAAAAATCCTCATAACTGGACCCATAAACAATATCATGATCAATAGAGAAAAGATAGAAGTTGTAAAAGATTTCAATTTATTTGGATCCACAGTCAATGCTCATGGAAGCAGGAGTCAAAACATCAAATGACACATTGCATTGGTCAAGTCTGCTATAAAAGACTGCTTTTCAAGTGTTAAAGAGTAAAGATGTCACTCTGAGAACTAAAGTGCGTCTGACCCTGACCCAAACCATGGTATTTTCAGTCGCCTCCTTATGCATGGGAAAGTTGGACAATTAATAAGGAAGAAGAATTGATGCCTTTGAATAATGGTGTTTTTGAAGACTGTTAAACGTACCATGGCCTGCCAAAAGGACAAATAAATCTGTCTTAGAAGAAGTACAGCCAGAATGCTCCTTAAAAGTCAGAATGGCAAGATGGCATCTCACAGTTTGTTGTTGTTATGTGCCGTGGAGTCAGTTCTGACCCATAGTGACCCTGTACAGGGTTTCCGAGGCTGCAAATCTTTACAGGAGCAGAAAGCCTCATCTTTCTCCCACGGAGCGGCTGGTAGTTTCGAACTGCTGACCTTACGGTTTGCAGCCCAATTTGTAACCACTACGCTATATATGCTATTAAGAGGGGCCAGTCTCTGAAAAGAAACATCATGCTTGGTAAAGGGTCAGTGAAAACGAAGACGACCCACCGTGAGATGAACTAACATAGTGACTGAAGCGATGGCCTCAGACAACAATGATAATGACAGTGTTTGTTCTGTTGTGTACAGGGTTGCTATGAGTCAGAGCTGATGCAACAGCACCTAACAACAACAAAATGCACCAAAAACAGCTGTCATCAGCATGGTTCGTTGTAACTGGGATACATTGTAAATTGGAGATTCACATAAAAACCAAACGGTTTAAAATTAAGGTGTGCGCCAAGGTTGTATTCTTTCACCATACTTATTCGACCTGTATGCTGAGCAGATAATCCAAGAAGCTGGGTTCTATGAAGAAAAATGTGGCATCAGGATTGGAGGAAGACTCATTAACAACCTGCGATATGCAGATGATACAACCTTGCTTGCTGAAAGTGAAGAGGACTTAAAACATTTACTGATGAAGATCAAAGAGCACAGCCTTCAGGATGGATTACGTCTCAATGAATAGAAAACAAAAATCCTCACCACTGGACCAATAAACAACATTCTTATCAATGGAGAAAAGATTGAAATTGTCAAGGACTTCATTCTTCTTGGATCAACTATCAACACTCATGGAAGCAGCAGTCAAGAAATCAAATGACGTATTGCATAAGGCAAATCTGCTGCACAGGAACTTTTGAAAGTGTTGAAGAGCAAAGATGTCAGCTTGAAGACTAAAGTGTGCCTGACCCAAGCCATGGTATTTTCCGTAACCTCATGTGCATACAGAAAACTGGACAGTGAATAAGGAAGACCATAGAAGAATTGATTGCATTTGAGTTATGGTGTTGGAGGAGAATATTGAAAGTACCATGGGCTGCCAAAAGAACCAACAGATCTGTGTTGGAAGAAATGCAGCCAGATTGCTCCTGTCTTCCCCCCTGCCCAGTCCTGGGGCCACTCTAATGGACACCCTCCTGTGTTTCAGTACTTGGCCCGCAAGCTTGGTCTGGACTCCATCACCTTTGGCTACCTGCAGACTGTCTTCGGGTTGCTCCAGCTGCTAGGCGGGCCCGTGTTTGGCAGGTACCAAACTTGCACTTCTGGTCAAGGTCACAGGCTGGGTCATGCCAGGCTTCCCCCTCTTTGGACACTGCTGTGAGTGTTCTCTGCCCACCCCTCAAGGTCCTGAATTCACAAGTTTGGTTTGAGACAGGATTTCATAGTGAATGCCAAAGCTGTAAAGGCCAGCATCACCCACCCCAAGCTGGGCAAGTCATAGGGCTGCAGGCAGGGGCTCCAGGGACTTTGTGGCCCCCAGATCCCCACTGGCCCACATCACTGTGGACAGGACCATATGCAGAAATCAGAAGTTTGGAAGGACATTTAGGCAGGTAAGATGGGATGGAGGCAGTCAACCCAGAATGAGGAGGAGGTCTGGGGGTCCCAAGTCTGAGAGAGAACGCTGATGGAGGCTGGGCAGGCTAAGTGGGCTCAGGGCCTTGAACATGGAGACTTTCTGTAGAGCACACACCCGGTCCTGTGGCTCAAGAGTTGACTTTCATAAGGAGTCATGTCCCAGCGCACAGCCCCATTAGGACAATACCTCAACCTACCCATAGCCTGGGTTGGGTGTGGAGGGCACACCAACAGACGGGTTCCTCACAGTCCCAGAGTGGGGGGCTTAGAAAGGCAGGTGCTGGTGGGGGCCCCAGTCCGTGAGGGATCACAGGGGTGGGACCTGCCCTGCTGACCCCGTGCTGTCCCCCCAGGTTCGCAGACCAGAGAGGGGCACGGGCCGCGTTTACCCTCTCCTTCCTGGGGGCCTCAACGGTCTACCTGCTACTGGCGGCAGCATGCAGCCCCTCCCTGCCCGGCATCCCTTTGCTCTTCATCTCGCGCCTGCCCGCAGCGTTCATGCACACACTGCCAGGTAACCCCAGAAGGCCTGGGGGGCGGGACGGGGTGGGGTAGGAAAAGTGACGTGGGGGCCCAGGGAGCTGGGCCAGAGCAGGGCAGTTGGAGTAAGGAAGGGAGAGAAGTGGGGAGGAGGTGCTAGGTGCTGTAGGGGTGTGACCTGGTTCAGAGATGGG